CCCACACGTGCACCCACACATCCACACCCGCACCCACATGCACACACTCACACACACCCATGCACACACACGCACCCCCCACACCCACATAGCTACATGTACCCACATGCACCCACGCACACTCACACACACGCACCCCCACAGCTACATGCACCCACATTCACCCATGCACACACATGCACCCACACACCTACATGCACCCACATGCACACCCGCACCCGCACACACTCACACACACACATTTATGTGCAGCAAGGACTGGCAGCAGTTAAGAGGTGGCAATTACTATAAGCCAAACCACAGGAGTCAGGCTTTCATCTGTGAGAACATTCCAGTAACCTGCTCCTGATATAAATATCCAGGGAGAAAGGCCCCAACTTTCCAGACACACGTCCTCTTTGGAGGTGACTCTGTCTCTCCCTCTGGAGACAGTCCCACCCTCAGCGGTTCAGGGAGCCCAAACCTACTTTTCTTTTCTTCCTCTTTTTTTTTAAGATTTTATTTATTTTATTTGAGAGAGAGAAACAGCATGAGAGGGGAGAGGGTCAGAGGGAGAAGCAGGCTCCCCGCTGAGCTGGGAGCCCGATGTGGGACTCGATCCCGGGACTCCAGGATCATGACCTGAGCCGAAGGCAGCCGCTTAACCAACTGAGCCACCCAGGCGCCCCCAAACCTACTTTTCTATTTCCCAGGCTGGCAAACTTTCCTGCTTATGCTCTCTCACCCCCAGGGCCCCCTTCCAGGGCCGAGAGTTTTAAAGAACAAAAAGCAGCCCCACTTAGCATCCTTCTTTAAGGTTTCCCACCTCAAAGCTGTGCTTTTTTTCAGGGAGAAAATCCGCTACTCTAATTGCCCCCGACACCCCCTCTCCCCTTCTTGGTTTCTCAACGGAGGCATGATTGACATTTGGGACCCCGTAATTCTCTGCTGTTGGGGCTGGCCTGTGTCTATGGGACAGCATCCCAGGTGTCAGCCGCATTCCTGGTCTCCACCCAAGAGATGCCAGCATCCTACCCAGTCGTGACAGTGGAAAATGTCTCCAGACGTTGTCATATGTCCTGGGAGTGGGGGGGCTTGCCCAGCGGAGAAACACTGCTCTATCTTAGGACCTGGGTACTCACCCTTCCACCCTCGGGAGGACATGCCTTGTGGGGTTTTCCATGCAAACAATCAGGATGGTCTTTGGAGGGGCTGGGGCCTCTGCTGGGAGGGAAAGAGGAGCTCCACATAAGCTAGGTTGGCCGTGCAGTAGACGGACATTTTCAGTGTGGTCACGTTGGCTGGCTGGATCTGATGACAATGGCTAATCAGGATCAGAAGAGGTTATGGGCACCCTCCATTTATGCCCAATACGAGACAACCTCGGATTGGAAGAAATTCATCTAATGCAATCCCCTCTATCTTGCAGACGGGGAAGGTGGAGCCCCGAGTCAGGATGACACTTGCCTCCACTCAAGTTGGAGGTAGCTCTAGCCACAGACACAATCTGTCCACACCTGCAGTTGCCCTTTTGCATCTGGTAGAGGCAGAGGGCACATGCAGCCAGGAGTTCCAGGATACAGAATGTTTCTAGAAGGACATGAATAATTGGGCCCAAAGCCAGAGTTCCTGATGGAGAGTCCCAGCATATCCTGGACATCCAATTCCTATCCAAGCATTCCATCCCTGTTGCTTACCTTCCAAAACTCAGGCCTGAGACCAGGGACCCTCCAGGGGGGCCAGGAGACCACCAGCCCTGCAGGCAGGTGAGGCCCTGCCCTCTCCTCACTCCTCACCTGGGGCAGGTGAGCAGCTGGAGCACCCTTTCCTCTCGGGGAAGCCTCTGCCTCATTAGCTTTTCCATGTTGCCCTCTGACTGGACCCCACTTCCTCCTCCCTGTCTTCCCGTGAAAGTAAATTCAATTGGAAACCGTGAATGTCCCAGTCCCCAGAGGTGGGCCATCACTTAGGGAGAGAATTTTATTCTCCTCGGGCTCTCTGGCCCGGTGAGCACCCCCAACCCCCAGCTCCATGCAGATAATGAGGGAAGCCGTGACATACACTCCTTCCTCTGACCTAATTGATTATCCCCGCACACCTTGGCGTGCTTTGCATAACCAGCCCCGACAGCAGGAACCCCTTCCAGGCGGAGTGATTGACATATTTTATTTCTAATTGAAGCTTAATCAGGACCCGGGATAAGATTCCCAGATATTCTCTCTCTCTCTTATGCCTTATTCTTCTCTGGCTTCCTTCTCTCCCTCCCTCCCTCCCTCCCTCTCTCCCCCGCCCCAACTCTGTGAACCCCACCCCTTCAGCTTCCTGTTGCTTTTTAAAATTTTAGGTCCTCACAATAAAGTATGGACAGAGGCAGTCCCTGGGATCCCTGAAAGGAGGGAGAGGAGGGGGTGGCTCAGGGAGGAGGATGAAGAACCCGTTCCTGGTGAAATGGGGAGCGGAGCTGCTTCTTCTCCCTCTTTTGGCTAGAAAGCCCATGGATCTTTTTGTTGTTGTTGTTTTGATCGCATTACCTTATGGGGGTCAGTCTGGGGCCATGTGAAGGGCCCATGTGTTCTGTGGGACAGAGAAGATGCAGATATGTGGGAGCCACTCCCAGGTCTCCCCCAGCTCTCCTCTGCCTCCCCCCCACAGCCGCCTTTCAGTAGGGGCAAAACTGGTCTCATCCAAGAACCATTATCCCTGGAATGAGCTGATCTGACGAGGTGAGCCAGCCGCAGGGTTTACACTAGAAAGACACCAAGGATGGGGGGGGGGGGGCCGTCAGACCTCTCCAAGCTCGGCTTGGCCTCTCCGCACCCACCTCCTGTGAACAGATGCTTTTCCTCCTCCTTGGTGGACGGTCTGCGCCTGGAAAGGCTGCCTGCCCTCTGCGTGCCCCCTCCCCCTCATCACCCCGGCCTGGGGACTTTCCTTTCTCCCTGGTTTGAGCTGGGTCCTGAGGTGCCTGAAGGCAGACGCCTCACTGTTATGGCTGAGGGGCGTGGGTGGGCAGAATCGTGCCCAGAGTTGAAGAGAGGGGTCTGAGATTCTGGAATAGAATATTAGTAAGACTAGTAATAGAATATTAGTAAGGCTATTTACCTCCACGTGGCATGTCAGCACTAGACATGCTTCCTCCTCCGAGGTAGGCGCTATTATTCCCATTTCCCGCAGATGAGGAAATAGAGCACAGAAAAGTTAATTGTCTGCCCAGAGTTTCACAGGACGGAGACTGGCGAGCTAGGTCTGTGCCCCAGTAAAGCTTGGAGGCTCTAGCTGACAGGCTATCAGGGTGCCGCCCACCTAAAGATACTCAGGCCAAGGGCAGAGGCCTCTGCCCAGCCCCGGGGCCCTGGCCTCTGATGTTCAAGGCCCAGACAGTTGAAGCCCGTTCTGTGTGGCAGGGCGCCGTGCCCAGTGCCTGAGCTGAACCATAGCCCGCGTCTGAGACCTGGGAAGGAGTCTGAACCCCATAACACCATTAATAGAGAGCCAGGAGGGGAGGGAGCCCGAGAGACATTTCCCACCTCTGGGGGAGGGGCTAGACTAGACGGGGAGCCCCAGCCTCTTCGCTTGCTCAGAGACCAGCCTCTGCCTCACCAGCCCTCTGGGAAAGGCCACCAACTAACACACTGGACGCCAACAGACCCTCTTTCCCCCTTGTTCCTGGGAGGCCACCACACCCCGTTTACCCAGCTTCTGTGGGGTTACCGGGGGGCCATGCTGGGAGCTGCCCGGGGCATGGATGGGTCCTTCCAGGACCTACCCTGCTCCTGCAGAACCTGGAAGGTGTACACTAAATATAATGCTGTCCCTTGTTCTATGGCTTCAGGCATGCAAGCTCTTCCCAAAACTCCCAGAGGGCCCGCGGGATTGTCAGAGGCCCCACACCAGGGGGTGGGGTGGGGGCAAACACCAGGTATCTGGCCACCCTATGCATTTACTAACTAAACGTGGGGACGGAGGTACAAAAAAGGAACCCTCCACTTCGGCCCGGAGGCGGCACTCTTCCAGCGCTCCTTACAAGTTGTTCAAGTCAAAGTTGGGCAAGGCTGGCCGACTGAAAGAGAAAACAAGAGGAGGAGGAGGGGGCGAGGAAGGGGCCAGCGGTGGGCCGGGCCTGGCTGGAGCGGCCTCCAGAGGTAGGCGCTGACTGGCCCTTTTGTCCTGTAGAGGGAGCTCCAGCCCCAAATTTCCTGGCTCCCTCCCCCCCCGCCGGCCCACCCCTGGACGGCCTGGAGCCTGAATCCAGGCTGCATAGATAGGTACAGCAGCCCCAACACCCCCGGTCCCCCCATGGGACCCCAGAAAGTTGTCCTTCCAGGGCACTTGGGGAAAACCTGCTGGGGTGCCAAGACGCACAGATGCTAACAGGACCTGGGTCCCCCAACTCTCCATTCGCGCTGGGCAAGTCACCAAGAGGTCATGATGTGCATCCCTAGGCTCCCCGCTCCTCCATACCCACCCTGTACTCACCGCCACCCCACACCCTTGCATCTATAAGGAGGAGTCTAGGGGTGCAATGAGGTTGGAAGGGGCTTGAACTGAGCTGGCACACGCCCTCATGTAAAACTGAGAAAACCTCAGTTGTGCCTATCTAAGAATGGGGTTGCAGGAGTGATGAGAACCTCCCACCCTAAACCTTCTGCACCCAGACCCTTCTCTGAGTCTTTCTGCTTTGCCATCAGAGCAGGCTCCAAGACCCCACGGTTGCTCCAGTGGGTGGGGTGGGCCCAAGGGCCCAGGCTCCTCGGAGGGCATCAGGTCGGGTTTCCCCGCTGTCTTCTCTGCCCTTTTCCTTGGGCGCCCCACGGACTTCTCCAACTGCCTCACCCCCAGCGGTGCCCCCAGGCCCGCTACTTCTCTGTCTTCTCGGCCTCTGCACTCTTCTGATAAAATGGTCCTACTTGCCTTCTTTTCTGCTGATCCCCAGCAACTCTTCAAACATGGGGGGATGGGGGGAGTGGATAAAAAAACCCCATAACAATAGATCCGTCGTGGGGCGGGGGCAGACAGGCGGGTTTTAGTCAAAGTGGCAACAGCTCATTTATTTAGCCAAAAATAGATACTTTCTTGTACAATTTGGTTCACACATATGTACATTTTTCTGTATATACAAAAAAAGTCAGACACGCTTATTCTCACGGAAACTCCACCCCCCAAATCAACTGAACCAAAAAAACCCAAAAAAAAAACCCCTCACAAACTCAGCTAATGTGAGGTACAGAAGCCACTTGGGGAGGACTGAGGGGGACTTGCTTTATTTCTTTTTTTGTTGGTATTTAGTTTTCTTTTTTAGGTATTCATACACGGACATGCTTACAAGTCATAACTATACAGAGCGATTTTTTTTACAATTATTACAACGATTTAAAATTTTTAAAAATAAGTACTAAGACGAGGAGAGAGCCGAGAGGACCAGAGCGGCATCCAGGTGGTTCTGGGGCCTGGAAGAGAGAAGCAATGGTAGTAGCAAAGGGAAATAAGAGCTCGGGGCACCGACGCTGCCCAGGACCGGGAGACCCAACCTGGGGCTGAGGCTGGGGGGCTGGGAGGTGTCTCAGTGTCAGATGCTGTCCCGCTGTAGACGTTGGGCTTCCGGTTTAACTATCAGAAGGGCGAGAAGGCGTCAGACCCGAGGTCCCGGCTGCAGGGCCTCCAGGGGGGCTTCCCAGAGCCGCCGCCCGCCCCAGGGGCCTGGTGACAGGGCCGGGCTCCGGTGCCCACCGCTCCGCACCCTGGGCCGCGCCCGGGGGCCAGAACTGGGATGGCCAAGCCGGCTGTGGGCCCGCGGGGACTACGGAGGGCTGTGTGTTTCGTCCCCTTTTTAAAGCGCGTCCCGGCGGCGTTCACCCGGGGGCAGAAGCCGAGTGGGCCTCCAAGTTTGTTCCTCCCCGACTTGCCGGTCCCACCATTCCCCCCACCGCGGGGGTCTCTTACCGCCTGGGCACGGGCTGGAAAGCTGTCTTGAGTAACTTTTTCTCCACTTCCAAGGCACTACAGCGATCTAAGGGAAGCCGGGAAGAAAAAGGAGGGCCTTCAGAGCGCTCCATTCCAGCACTCAGGGCCGCGGGAGGCAGGCGCCGGGTGGTAAGCGCCCTAAGCCCCCGGGGTCCTGCCCATCCCCGCCTGCCCCCGCGCGACCCCCAGAACCCACCCCCTCCCTCCGCATCCAGCGCTCAGTAGTCACCTGTTCCGCCTTCGGGCTCCGCTGGCCGAGCGAAGGCAGCAGCGGCGGCGGCCGGGTGGCCCGCGGCTCCTGGAAGTCCCAGCAGGTGTGGAGGGGCCGAGCCGAGCAGGGAGAGCGGGTGCGGGCGTGGGCCCGGCGGCGGGCCTGGGAACGGCCGGTTGGTCCAAGCCGGGAACTTGCTCAGAGGCGCGGAGACGAGTCTGTGAGCCGCGGCGGCCGCGGCGGCTGGAGAGAGCTGCAGGGCTGGGGGCGCGACGGCGGCCCCGGGGGGAGAAGCCCCCGCGCCCGGAGGCGAGCGGCGCGGGTTGTCCGGGCTTGTGGCCGTCTCGGCCAGGGACCAGATCTTGGGCTTCTGCAGGGCTGAGGCGGGCGCTGGCGCCGGAGCGCAGGGGTCCAGGCCCGCAGGAGGCGAGGGCGGAGACGGCGGAACCGCGGCCACCGGCGGTGGCGCTGGGGCCAGACTCAACACCGGCAGTGGACGCTCCTCCAGGCCCTCCGAGCTGTCGTCCGAGTCGCTGTTCTTGGAGTCTGAAATGGGTCTCAGGCTGAGGTCGCCGTTCCTGTGCGCCGCCCCAGCCAAGGCGAGCTCAGGCCCCGCGGCCGCGCCGTCTAAGTTCTCCAAATCGATCTCCTCGTCGTCGTCGTCGTCCGCCAGGCCCTCGCCCCCCGTGTCCTCCTCCTCCCCCACGAGCTCCTCCTCCTCCAGCTCCAGCTCGCGTTTGCTGTCTTCTTCGTCCTCCTCCTCGTCTTCCTCCTCGCGCTCGCTCCCGTAAGCGTTGCCCTCCTCGTCGGTGCGGCTGCGGGGCGCCCACGTCATCTTGTTCTCCTTCTTGAGGCGCCGGCGCGCGTTGGCGAACCAGGTGGACACCTGGGTGAGGGTCATCTTGGTGATGATGGCCAGCATGATCTTCTCGCCCTTGGTGGGGTAGGGGTTCTTGCGGTGCTCGTTGAGCCAGGCCTTGAGCGTGCTAGTGCTCTCCCGGGTGGCGTTCTTGGGACGGGACGGGTCCCCGAACTGGTACTGGCCATACGGGTAGAAGGCGGGGTGCGGGTGCGGAAACGCGGCGGCCGCGGCCGGATGCTGCACCCCCGGGCTGTCTTTCAGCTCGTACTGCGCGCCCTGTACGCACACGGAGAGGGAAGGGACACGCGCAGAGGGAGCGCGGGTGAGCCCTAGCCGTCGCCGCCTCCACCCTCCCGGCCTGGGCCGCGCTCGTCTACTCCCGCGCGCTCGCCTCTTCCCGCGCCCCAGCTCTCTAACCCTCTCCCACCCCACCCCGGCTCCCTGGGCGCTTACCAGCTGCGGGAAGATGGGCAGCTCGGCGGCGTAGGGCAGAAAGGCACCGTAGCCTTGGGCGGCTGCGGCAGCTGCTGCCGCCGCGGCATAGGGCGCCCCGTACACGGAGGAGAGCACGTTGGACAGGGACCCCGAGGCGGCCAGCTCCGAGGCCCCGGCTCCTGGGCCGCCCCGGGCCCCGGCGCTGCC